AGACYAGCCCGTCTGGAACCAACAAACAAGCCACGTTTAAAGTCACTTAAATCACCTTTCTTCATTCTGATGCTGGTTTGATCGTCTTGGCCATGTCTACATGCCTRAATGCATTGAGTTGCTGCCATGTGATTGGCTGGTTCGACATTTGYGTTAATRAGCAGTTGGACAGGTGTRTCTAATAAAGTGGCCGGAGAGTGTACTTGGTMYAGCMACACAATTTAAAAATTGGTGTATTACCTGAAAGAATRTACTTTYGACACAWTTTGGAACAGATTTTTGCGGAGAAATCTTTCCCACTRAAGTGATTTAAATTGGTCATGTGGCTAGGATATTAGGGCRTCCAGGGACTCCAGGGGATTAATCGTCTTATTGGCTAAATACCACAATTAATCGTGATTAATTGTTTTGCMAATATCGCCCAACCCTCATTTGCACTGTAAAATACTCAGCCTAGTTACAGTGAAAACAAGATGCACGTGTCCAGTTAGACTCTTGAGACATGCAGCTTCACACGACGACAACAGCAATAAAAAACAAAACAGAGGTTTAATCCTGAAATCAGCTGTGGGAGGTTTTAGAAACGGGTCTTACGTTTTCACTGGACRAAGCCAACATAGATCAGGCACTTCTCGGACTTCCCTTTTACACAAATATACAGAGTCCACATATTTACAGTTTCATCTGGTAGGAGAACCACTGGAGGTGCACGAGGTGCGAGGGGAGGGGTGGTGCTTCTCACCACAGTTTCCGATGAAAGGAGAGATGAACGTGTGTGTGTGTGTGTGTTGTGGCTTTTAGGGCTCAAGCACTTAAGGTGAGTCCGCCCTTCTTCGGTCGTCCATACTCGCTCTCCTCCATGATGACATCACGCGAATACCTCCTGACCACACCCGGTGACCTCAGCTCCACGTCCTCAGAGTGGCCCGGGTAGTGACCATAGGCCAACGGAGAGGGGTAACCATAAGGGTCCTGGTCCTCCTCTTGGTCCTCCTCGCCCCCTCCTCGGTCGTGGCCGTAAGCGACTGCAGCGGGGTCGTACCGCTCTCTGTAGGGCTGGTAGTCGCCGTGAGGGAGGGCTTGGACTGGAGGGGTGGGAACATTTAGGATCAGATAGTTCCAGTTTAGAGTGAGATTAAAACCAGATCTGGGATTAATAATCCTAAYCAATGGCAGCAACATTTAAAATCAAACAGGCGCAGCATGAATGTGAGGCGTGCAGATGATCAACAAGAGAACGGCTCTCAGATGTGATCAGAAAGACCCCCAGTAAACACACTTTTGGGGTGAAACTGAAGAGTTTCTGCACATCTCAGAATATGAGATGCACCAGTAAAGCTGGGTCGTTCTGTAATAAAAGCAGCCAAACAGAAAGGAAAGCTATTTGTCATTGTTTAACAAATTGATCCGGCTTTGAAAGATGTGATTAGTTTTAATGAAATTTGAGCTCAGAGCAGGTGAAAGTGGAGGAAGAGAGCCGCTCAAAGCCGTGCGAGTCGGTAATTGTTGACAAATGGAAGTGTGATCGGTGATGGCAGCGGTGCAAAGCTTTTGTTAGGGGTTTTAGGGWCTGAAAGCAAATTAATTTCTGTCTTAGTACCAAGTCAGCCATCATACTTATGTGGGTTAAAGCTGATGTGAACAAAATAAAATAATTGACCCATATGTGGGTCAGGTTTATGGTTTTGTAAAACATAAGAAAAATGCATGTTTTAAGACTAATTTGAAAACTTCAGAGAAGTAAATTTTAAAAGTTGCTGGTGCAAAGTTTGGCACTGAATGTGAGGGGGCTAATCCACCACAGGAAACATGGTGGCCTTGAGGGAATGACTGGATTTTAACAGGGCAAAGACTGAGGTGAGGACAGGAGGAAGAGGAGGAGGAGGGAGGAAGATGGCTGCAGAAAGCTCCTCAGTAATCATTTCCATAATCCTGCTGAACTTCAGGTCAGGAGGAAGAGGAGACATCCGGAGAGAGGGAACAGGGTGGAGAGAAAAGGAAAAGAGAAAATGTTACCTCATATGAAGAGAAAAACCCAAAGACACCAAAGATTTTGGTTCTCAAACAGCTCTAACAGCCTTCCCAGCTGCCGAAAACAAGAAAAATTACACCCTGCTTCTGTTTTACAGATATGAAACACACAAGTTCCTTCAGTGAGTTAACCAAAAAGTATTAAAATGTTTAAAAATAAAGAAAAGGTGGGAAAAAAGAGCATTAAAAATAAGAAAATTTAAACGTCTTAAAAGAATAAAAACAAAACCCTTCTCATTTACATCAGYTCTGTAAACAGTTGCAATTTTAACAGAGCTTAAGACACTGCGGAGTTCCTCAAGGCTCCGTTCTTAAGCCACTGCTATTTTTGATTTACATAAACAATTTATCAAAGGTTTTATATATGATACAACCCTGCTTCTATCCTGTTCACATTTTGATTCACTTTTGAAAGTCGCTAATTTTGGTTTGACTGCCTACGCTTCATGGTTTAKATTAAATAAATTATCTTTAAATCTTGGAGTTATTATTGAGAATTTAATGTGGAAATATACAGACTAGATTTGTAGGAAAACACATAAATCTGTTGGTATAATGAGGACAGTTTGTCATTACATCACTGCAGAATTTTTGCTTACAYTTTATACCCATATCAATGTTATATTAATAGTTTGGTGAAGTACTTTTCCCTCAACTCTTCAAAAACGCTTACAAAATTTTCAAATTTGTCTTTTTTATAAGATTTATGAAAGCCAAGAGAATATACCAATGCATTTTCATTATTTTAAATCCAATTTTCAGTTTCATTCTTACTTAATTGGCCAGAGTTCAGAGCTTCATCGTCCTAAATACCACAGCAGCAGCAGAGGTCAGTTTTCTGTCTGATACAGGCGAGCTAAACTTTAAAAKGACTTTTCCTACTTAGCAAAAGGCAGGCCTTCTGTGATAGAGTTAAAAAGTTATCTAAAACTGTTTTTATTAAAGAGCTGTGATTGCAATTTTTATTATTTGTTACATGTTCTATTTATTCATATCTTTGAAGGAAGAATTTTTAGGTTATTTTYTGTTTCTTTTTTATATATGATTGTATTGCATAATTTTATGATCAACTAATTAAGAATTGCATTGTTGGATTATTTATTTTATACCTCTTTTAATATTTTTTGGGATGAACCTTTTCATAAGCCCACTTGGGCCTCTTCCTGCACTGTTATTGTTTTCTTTTTCCCGTGAATTGGTCTGTATTTTTATGGTGCAAACCTAACCTTAACCCAGACCAAACCAAGCTACAAAACAAAAATAAACCTTAAACTAAACCGAAACTAAAAAATGCATAATAGTTGAATGACATTCAGTTCTGGTCCTCGGGGCCCACCACCCTGAAGATGTTTGAACTTTTCTCTGCTTCAGCACACCTGATTTAAGTATCGGGTCATTACCAGGCTCCTGCAGAACTTGATGACACACCGTGTGTGTTGGAGCAGGGAAACATCTAAAACATGCAGTACAGCAGCGGAGGCCCCGGAGGACAAGAGCTCAACATCTCAGGCTTAATTGGTTGGAAAAACACTCCTAAGTTAAAGTAAAAGTTCTAAACATAAAAGCACAAAGTTGTTGCTATGAAATAAAAGAAACAGATGATACTCTTCCCACACTTTGTCTAATTTGTCTTTGAAGGCCGAATTTAAACCTTGAACATTTGTGAAAACCAGACAGGACTCCTAAATCACAAGATATATATTAAAAAAAACACATTGTGAGTTGAATCCATTTAAATAAATCTTGTTTGATGGATGAAGTAACGTCTCATCCATCAGCTACTTTTAACAGATGATTCATCATCAGGACATCTTGTCAGATTCTGTTAGATGTGTACGGTCCGAGCTGGGATGGCTAGAGACGGTGCACTCATTGGCCTCATCGACACAAATATTCAAAGATGTTCTCTCTCTGTGTGTACCTGACTGTGTGAAGCAGCATATTTTATTAGATTTCAAAACAGACAAATAGCTCTGACCCGTCAGCTCCTTAATCCCTCAGTGTGGGCAGGAATGAAGAAACTTCACAGTGGAACAACAATAAAAGTCAGATCCCTTTCCAATTCTCTCAGATCTTTACAAGAAACAATAACAATCCAATGGCTAACCAAGGCTATGAAAACAACATCTGAGTGTTTTATATGTTTAAAAAAAAACTTCATAAAATGGAAAGGCAGACCAGGGCCAGACTGTTAAAACTGGTAAAAATAGTTTTATGTTTGGGGTTAGTCTGCTTAATTTAAAAATAAAGCTGGATTACATTAATCTTGCTGACACACGTTCTGGTTAAGACTAAACAAACAGAACTAAATGCTTTTGTAAAGTCTGCATATTTTGACAATGTTGGAGAAAACTCTGGAGTCTGAATGTTATTTTAGCTTCAGCTGTCAGAACCTAACCTGATTTGTAAACACCACATTTCTGCAGAACTCTGCAATTCATCTGCATCAGTTTTATATTGATCACATTATTTAAAACAGGTTTTATTTACTTCTCCTGGGTGAACAAAACAGTGCGGGAAGAGCCACATTTCGTATTTTATATGTCATTTACATTTACTTTTCACGAATTCCCTTCTGTTAATTTGTGTAAAGCCTCCAGCTGAGATGCCTCTTTTTTTTACTAATTATACACAGTATTAAATTACACTCCATCTAAGTGAAGAAAATCTGCTGTAACTTACAAAATAAAACACTAACTTTGTTCATTTGTTAACTTCTTTTATCTTTTCTGGTTTCAATATAAGTTTTCATATTAGCAACCGGTGAGATAACKTTCATTATATCTAATAATTTCAACATGTATGCAGGGGCGGAGCTAGACTTTTTTTTGCAAGGGGTGGCTAAGGTGTATTTTAGGGGCGCACAAACAAAGAAAACTTCTCTAGATCTGAATATTCAAGATGGCTGCCACTGCTAATTTGGCTATAACTCAGGTACCTTTAGACATATTAAGCTGAAATTTGATGTGGTGGCAGCTGCACTCACCAACATAACAGTACAGTTACATCATCAATTTAAAATGGCGGCCACATGACTGTACCCTTCAATGTTTCACAACGAACCCCTAGACGTTCCATTCTATTGCTGCTGGTTCTTAAACCCAAAACTATTGCGCATGTTTGTTGTTTTGTATTAATTCAGTGGTTCAGAAAAGTATTTTCTTCTTCCATCCTAGCCTCTGGCTCCGCCCCTGCAAACCTTTCTAACTTGAAAACAAAGAAATAAAACACATAAATGTAAAAACAGGAACTATTTCTTTACAGGAACATATTAAATGTTGATAATAAATGTTCATAAACATCAGCTGGATGATATATTTACCTCCAACGTTGTATCCTAGACACGAGTTCTGATCGCAGTATCCCGGTGGGCCAGCGGGTCCCGTGGCTCCTGGATTACCGGGTCTCCCTGCTGTACCTGGGTTACCGGGCCGACCAGGCGGCCCCTGGCTGCCTGTTCGTCCTTCACCTGGCAAACCTGAAGATCAAAAAGTTTAGGCTGAAAAACACATCCGGAGTTTATCCTACTTAAATACATCCTTCCTCCTGCTGAGGAAGAGCTGTTGAAGTGGTCTCAGTGAAAAGGTATGGACAATTAATATCTTACCTGTTACTGATAGCTTTTAATGCTAACCAGAGTGGTGAGCTAACAGCTAGTCTGAGTGGAGCCAAGAAACAGTGGACTGCTGACAACTTAAAACAACTCTGATCTTAAAAACTTCACAGCAGTTCATGTGTCGTTATGAAGCTTTGCATTATTATCTGTTGTGCACTGGTATGATATTCCTACAGGAAGTGCTCCAAGCTGCACCAAAAGTGCTACAGCTAGCTGCTGCTGCCATTTGCAAATAATAGAACTCCAAATGAGTAACCACATATTGTGAAACTTACGTCAACATAAATGCTTATAAAATGTGTTTGCATGAACCAGTGAGGTCTTTGGTGACTGGAGGTGCTTTAAGGTGGCAGTGATCCACTTTGGTCTTGGTCCTCTTGAGTCAGTATCTCATGCTGACAGAACTGCAAATTACATTTGTGAGGGAGTTTCCAAACTGCATAAAAATGTTCCTGTTTGCCCTAAATGGCAGCACGGCGGCTCAGTGGTTAGCACTGATGCCTCACTCACAGCAAGAAGGTCCTGAGTTCGATCCCAGGTTCAGACAAGGGGTCTTTCTCTGTGGAGTTTGCATGTTCTCCTCGTGTTTGTGTGAGTTTTCTCCTTGTGTTTCTGCAGGAAAGCGCTACATGTGCACCAGAACAAGAACAAACAGATTCAAGAACAGCTTTTTCCCAAAAGCCATCAYCTTACTGAACTCTTGCATACACTGACTCTTGGTTTAAAATCAGCGAGGAACTCACATACTGTGAAATAAATACATCTGTGGGACACCTGTCACTTTATTTTGTTTATGATCGCCTGCAATACCAGCAGAATCCATATACCTCAATATACAAAATGTGCAATATTTAAACAATGTGCAATAATGTCATTTAACTTTCTTCTACTTTAGTTTCACATTTACAATCGACTCTCATTGTACTTTTTTATGTGCTTTATTGTTTTTATATTGTTGTATATATAGGCATATGTGTGTGTGTGTGTGTGTG